GGTCACCCGGTCAGCTCTCCTCAATGCTGGGCTGCTGGGCAGGGTGGCCGTCCCCACAGGGCGACCCTCCCCGCCTGCCCCAGGAACCTCGCGCTGGGCAGGAGGTCATTCTGCCGTGTAGGACACAGGCTCGCGGTCCGAAACCCCAGCCTGGTTCCCCCAGCTCACACCCAAGCGTAATCTTCCGCAGGCCAATGCTGGAGGTGAAGGCAGGGTCCCCAGGGCCCTCTGGAAACAGAGTCCAGGAGAGTCCCTCTCTCCTGCCCCAGCTGCCTCGGAGACCCACAGACCCGGGAGGGGGGGCGGCTGGCTCCCGGAGCTGCAGGGGGAGGCGGGGGAGCCCAGCTCCTGGGGTCTCCACCCTGCACCCAGAAGGGTGCTGCCACCTCCAGCCACACACCTACATCTTCACCCCAAAGGCTTGGCCCCTGCCCCTCCCTGCACCAGCCACACGGCCTCCTTCTAATCCGCTGCATCCCCTCAGGTGCAGGGCCTTTGCACGTGCTGCGACCTGTCTGGAGCACCCTCCTCTCTGCTTCCACCGTCCCTCGGGACCAACCCCTCCCGTCCAAACACCACTTTCCTCAGGAAGCCTTCGCCATCTCCAGGAGGAGCCCCCCCCCCCGCAACCCACACACACAAGCTCACAGGGCACAGAAACTCCACGCCCGGTGCCTACTGGGTATTTACCTCCCCCACAGACCTGAGCGTCCAGAGGGGAAGACGACTTGGATTTCGCTCAACACCGCATGAGCTCATCTGTCTCGGCCTAGGCCCCACTGGAGCTCAGGGCCGTCAGCAGGGCACCCGGGGACCTGGCCGCCTGGCCCTCCGTGGGCAAGGGGAGGGAGTGGCCCTGGGGGTTTACGGGGTGAACACCACACGGGGCTTACAGAGGGACAGGGATAAGCCTGGCACCGTGTCTGCAATTAGCAGCTACTTGAACGTAAATAGCTCCCTTGTCAGCCAGACCATCCAAGACCCTGCCCTGCAGAATCGGATTCCTGAGGCCCCGAGGCAGAGGCCTCTTTGCTGCCAGGTCCCGGAGCCCCAGAGACGTTGTGGGGGAGCCCCAGAGACGTTGTGGGGGAGCCCCTGCCAGGAGGGGACTGCCTCCGGCTGCTCTGGGGACCCCTGACTTCCTGCGGGTCCGTGTCCCAGGTCCGCTCCCTGCGGGAGGGCAGAGAGGCTGGGCTGGGTACCTGCCACCCCCACCACGCCAGCCCAGCCACAGAAGCCGCCCTCACAAAGCCCCGGAACAACACAGACGTCACCCCTGGCCCGGCCCACAGACCGGCATGTGGCTCCCATCAGGGCCACATCTGGACATGCTCAGAGGTAGCTTGGATCCCTGGCAGGGTTCCGGCTCAAAGACAGGAACCCCCGCGCCCCCACCCCGGGCAAGGGCTGGAAACCCCTTCGCCAGGCCCCAAGGGCTACCATGGCAACGGGCTGGGGTCATTTCCGCCCCGTGGCCCACCTCTCAGCAGGTCTCAGGCAGGCAGGGCAAAGCCTCCTCTCCAGCTTCTTCGCATGGAGGGCCCTTCCAGTGCGGGGACCCCGGCCGTACCCCACCAGGGCAGCCAGGGGCCTCTGAGCCCCCCTTCTCCCAAGATGCTCAGTTGGGCACCTGACCCAGCCCCCATCAGGCCTCCGCCCCCCGCCCCCCATGCACTGGGCTGCCAGCAGGATACTCTGTGCTCACCCCTCGGGCCCCTCCCTCAGGAGACCTCAGAAGGGGAGGGCTGAGTCTGCCTTCTTCACCGCGGCCCCCTGCCCCCCGCACAGACGGAGCGCTCCCCGAGCGCCGCTGAAGACGTGATGGACTAAAGAATGAAAACTGAGTAATGGCCAATCTGTCCGTTATTCGGCAAATACCAAGTTCCCTGCCAAGCACTGGACACGAAGCCGCTCATCCAGTCCTCCAAACAGCCCCGTGAGCCTCGGCCAGTGTGGCTCGCATACCAGGGGGCAGCGGGTTCGATTCCCAGTCACGGGCACGTACCTGGGCTGCAGGCTGGCCGGCCCCCTGGCCCCAGCTGGGGTCGGGCAGGAGACAACCAAGCGACGTGTCTCTCTCACATCAATGTTCCTCTCTCCTTCCCTCCCTCCCTCCCGTCTGCTCTCTCTAAACATCAGTGGAAAAACGTCCTCAAGTGAGCACCAACAACCACCAAAAACCAATGGAAAAAAATATCCTCAGACGATTAAAAAAAAAAATCACAAAAGCCCAACGAAGCAAGGACTCGTCTGCTGCTTACAGATGAAGAGACTGAGATGTGAATCGGAGACGGGTGGACGCTGGTGGGCAGGACGAGATGTGTGGGCGGCAGGCCAGCCCCGGGGGGCCTCCCAGGGCCGCGCTCCCGGGTCCCTGTACAGCCACCTCCTCTCGCGTCCCTCCACCCCCACCTCTCCCCGCACACCTGCAGCCGCAGCCGCCAGGACCGCCTTCAACCATCAGAGACCCCCACCAGGCAGCCCTCCGCCAAGGCCACACTGCAAAACCCACGGAGGAAGCCCAGGGCAGGAAAGAAAACAAAAACCAGAGACTCTGAGAACAAAGCACGTCTCCAGGACTCCAGAAGCCCAGAACCACAGAGAGGCCCCTGGCGGCAGGAGGTGGGCTGGGGGCGGGGCTGCAGCCCAGACACGGCCTGTGCCAGGCCCCGGAGCCAGGCCCCCAGCCCTGTCTGGGCACACGGGCCCCGCATTACAGCCCCCCGACGCCCCACAGGCTCTGGGCTCCGGGAAGGACGGTGCCCTGGTCCCAGCCCGCCACCTGCCACTCTGACCTGGGGCCCCTAGAAACACCTCTCTGACCTTAAAACGAGAAGAAGCTCCCCTACAGGCTGGGGAGGACGGGAGCACGGAGACAGGGCACCCAGCAGGGGCTCCGCCGGCGGACCGTGCGCCCACCCACCGTGCGCAGCTAGATGCAGAGCTGGGCTGCAGCCCATCAGGCCACAGGTCCGGGGCAGCAGCAGTTCCTCCCTCTGTGGGCACAGGCTGATGCCCCGTGAGGCCTGCAGCACCCACAGATGGAAAGTGGGGCGCAGGCCAGCTAAGAGAACTGCCCAAGGCCACACAGCTGGCAGAGAGGGCGGGTCAACGGGAATCCCTCGTGCCCCCTCCTCCAAGAAGCTTTCCCAGATACCTCCAGGCGTCCCTCCCTCACACCCCGGGCCTGTGCACCAGGGTCCCAGTGGTACATTCCCGCCTCCCGGCGCCCACAGCTGCCCACCGTTTATACCTAACGAAGGTCGGTAGAGGGAATGATGTGGGTTGAACAGAACAGCCTCCCGGCCGTGGAGAGTGATGTCTAGACAGCAAGACAAGTCCCCAGACACCCTCAGAGGGAGGGAAGAAAAGGGAGCTGGCTGGGGGTGGTCAGACAAGACACAGAGATTCCAGGAAGGGCCTCGGAGGGAGGCGCACCTGTACGAGCTGGAGCTGTGGACACGTGTGGGACAGAGGGGCGGTCATGCTACAGGTTCGCGGACGGCAGTGACACTCCGGGCAGAGGGTGGGCGGCCGGGGGTGGGCACGGCGCCCCGACGGACTCTCATTCATTCACCCAGCAGCTACGGGGTCCCAGCGGCGTGCCCGGCCCCGTGGGGCTCGTGTACACAATGGAAACGATGACAGAGCGGACCCTCTGCTCACGGCACTGACATTCAACTAGGAACAACGATCGTCACGCAAGAGGACGCTGTGGGGTTCCCTGGCTGCAGAGAGAGAGCTGAGGAGGAAGGGGTGAGCCACGTGGACACCCGGGAGAGCATTTCAGGAGGCGGCAGCAGCAAGTGCAAAGGCCCCGGGGCCGCCATGGGGCCGGCCTAGACGGGAGGTCAGTGAGGCGGAGCGGAGTAGGTGAGAGGGAGGGTTGCTCTGCACTGAATGTGTACCCCCCACTCAAACCCTATGCTGAAACCCTAATCCCCAATGGGATGGTGTCTGAACCTAAAGCTTTGAGGAGGTGATCAGGTGCTTTGGGTGGAGCCCTCAGGATGGAATTAGCGCCTTTCTGAAAAGAAACACCAGCCGGGCCGGTGTGGCTCCGTGGATTCAGCATCGTCCCAGGGACTGAGAGGTCCCGGTTCGATTCCCGGTCAGGGCACACGCCCAGGTTGTGGGCTCGATCCCCAGTGGGGGGCGTGCAGGAGGCGGCCAGTTGGTGTGTCTCTCTCATCGATGTTTCTATCTCTCTCCCTCTCCCTTCCTCTCTCTCTAGAAAATCAATAAAAACATATTTAAGCCCTGGCCGGTTTGGCTCAGCAGTTAGAGCGTCAGCTCGTGGACCAAGGAGTCACGGGTTCGATTCCAGTTAAGGGCACGTACCCCGGTTACGGTTGGTCCCCGGTGCTGGTCAGGTCGTGCGGGAGGCAGCCAGTCCATGCGGCTCTATCAGCCTCTCTCCCTCCCTCCCACTCTACCTGATGATAAATGGAAAAATATCCTTAGGCGAGGAATAAAAAAACACATATATATTAAAAGTAATAAAAAAATAATAAAAAGAAACACCAAAGAGCTTGCTCCTCCGCCGATGTTATCTCAGGTGAGACACTGACGGAGCAGGTGCAGACGTGGTGAGGACCGGGCGGGCCCTCAGCGGACACCCGACCTTCATCCTGGATTTGCAGCCCCCAAAACTGCGAGAAGCAGGTGTTCGTCCTCGATGCCACCCAGCCTGCGGCCCTTTGCTGCAGCCGCCCAAGTGGACTGAGCCGAGGGTGCTGGGGACCAGGTCGGGGTCGCAGAGGCAGACTGCGTGGGCCTGTGGCCCAGACCACTCTGGCTTCTCCCGAGTGCGGGAGGCAGGCAGGGTGCTGGGCGGGGGGCGGAGACGACCTGTGCTGACGGGGCCAGAAGAGCCCCCAGGAGGGGCTGCACCCCGTGCGCCAACCTCAGGCCAGACCGCGGCCAGGCCTGCGAGGACCGGCGAAGACCCTGCCCCGGCCCCTGGACTGCGCCAACAAGGAGCTAAGAAAGAGGCTTACCTTCAGGGTCCCCTCTGGGGACAGAATGGACAGAGTTGGGGTCAGTGTCCTCCTCTGGCCGAGGATGGAGCAGAGCCGGGGGCTGCTGGGGTGCTTCCTGGACGGGCAGGACCTGGATGGCCTCGTGGGGAGGTGTCGTCAGGATGGTTTGGATGCTGGGCTTTGTGGGGTCTCCGGGAGAGCTCGCTGTGGCCGCAGACTGCAGGACACTGGCTGTGCTTGGCCCCAGCTCGGGGCCAGTTCCCCCCGGGCCAGCGCTTTGCGGGGTGTCCTGGGCGTCCGGGATAAGGTTCTCCTCGGGCCCCGCTCCGGCGTCTGCCCGCTCCTCCTGGGCAGGGGGACTGGGCCTGGCTGGGCCGGACCCGGGAGGCCTCTCGAGACCGGGGAGCCCGCCTGTAGCCAGCTGCTCCGGGACGGCGCCGGCCTCCCTGTCCTCGGCCCCTCCCGCCCGGCTGTCCTCCGTCACCCTCCTGGGCTTGGCCTGCACAGGGGCCGGGGGGCCCAGGGCGGCCGCCGCAGTGGGCCTGAGGAGGGCGGCCAGCCAGGGGGTGGCCTGGATGGCGGGCAGCAGCTGACCTCCGCCTCCCAGGGTGGCCGGGCCCCGCGTGCCGACCTGAAGCTCGCCCACCAAAGCCGCCTCCTCCTGCTCGTAGCTGTAGGGGTCTTCGTAGTGGCTGCCAGGCTCCTTGGCCTCCCGCTCCGAGAAGTTCCCGGGGGCCGCGGTGGGCGCGGCCTCCTGGCAGCTGGGCACCTGGTAGCAGATGAGCTCCCCGCCGCTGTCCGGGCAGTGGCAGGCCCGGCAGGGCGGCAGGTGCACGGTGTGGCCGGCCGCGTACTTGCGGCCGGAGTGGACGCAGCCCACCTGGCCGCACTGCGGGCAGCTGTCGGCCGCCACCACGGCCTCGATGCAGTTGGGGGGCAGCTCCGGGCACAGCATGAACTGGCAGCTGATCTTGCCGCCCTCGGCGGGGCAGGAGCACTCGGTGCTGCCGAAGTCCACGAAGTAGGACTGGCCGGCGGGCACGCGGCCGCGCACGAAGCCGCCCTGCAGGCAGTCGTAGTACTGGTAGCCCTCGCAGGCACAGCCCCGCTGCAGGCACCGGGCGCAGCAGGCCCCCGGCTCCAGCGCCTCCTCGATGCAGTTCTCCAGCGGCGGGCACTCCACGCCCGTGCAGTCCTGCGGCGGGGCGGCCGCGCCCGTGCTCGCGCCCAGGGCCAGGGCCAGGGCCAGCCAGGCTCCGACGGGCTCCCGGAACATCACCATGGTCCACGGCCAGCCGAGGTGCCACCTGCAGCCAAAGGGTCCCCTGTCCGGTGAGGCCCTGGGGGAATCGGAAAGGACACCTGTCAGCACCGCTCAGGGCCACACGTGAAAACACAGGCACCCCCGGGGTGCGTCCCGAGGTCCCCGTGCACACTCCTGCCCACGTGTTGGGACGTACACCGGTTTTGCCACACGCATGGAAGAGCCACCCACGGCGTCCTCGGGCGCTGCTCTCCGAGAGCCACGGGCCCGCCCCAGCCGCCTGACACGTGCCTTCCGGCCCAGTCACCCCGACTCCGTCCGCCCTCCCCAGGACAGCCCAGCAGCCGAGGGCGCTCTGGGGCCCTCCCGCCAGGACAGGCACCGACATGCTCGCAGGCCCCAAGGACACAGTTACCCACAGCGTCCCCCTACCACCCGCCCTGTGCCAGGACACCCCCGTGGTCTCCCCCACACACAGCCACCCACCCAGCTCCTCTCCCCACAAGCCCTGCTCCGTGCCCAGCCGTCCGCCCAGGCCTCAGGCTCACAGCAGAGGGTGTGGTCAGGCGAAGCGACCCTCCCCCCTGGGCACAGACAGCCCGGCCCAGGTCTCTGCAGCCTCCAGGGCTGAAGGCCGCCCAGACCCCCTTGGGCTGCGCACTCAGCCCATCGCCCGGCTGCCCCAGCAAAGTCACCACCACGTCCAGAACTATCCTGGACACCCGCTGCCCCGACACCTTTCCCCTGACCCAGGCACCTCTCAAGTCCTGTCCACTCTTCCCAGGAAGACTGTCCACTCTGCCCCCTCCAGCCCTGGACACCCCCCCACACCCTCACCCTGTGCTGCTCCCAACTGCCCCGCGGCCCTTTCTCTGCAAGACCAGTCACCTCAGGGCAGCTGACCAACAGGCCAGAGGCCCAAACCACAAGGTCAGGCCAGCAAGGGGAGGCCCGGCCCCTCCCCTCCCGCATGCCCTCTCCCAACCCCCTCGCCACCCGCTGCAGGCTCGTGGGTCACCCCCTCCCAGCCCCAAGCCTGGCTACTGTCTGCACACTAAGCTAAAACTGTCTGCTTTTTTTAAAAAAAAGGGGGTAAAAAGGGGGTAAAATGCTGGAGGCTCCAGCATTTTAAGTCTTTGTCATTTCAAAACTAAAAATAAAAACTTCTTAAAAATTTCTGACAAAGCCCTGGCCGGTTTGGCTCAGCGGTTAGAGCGTCGGCCTGCGGTCCAGAGAGTCCCGGGTTTGGTTCCCGCTAAGGGCATGTACCTCGGTTGCAGTTTGTCCCCGGCCCCGGTTGGTCGTGTGGGTGGCAGCCACTCGATGTGTCCCTTTCACATCGATGTTTCTCTCTCTCTCTTCCTCCCCCCCCCCCATCTGAACAAAAAATGGAAAAATGTCCTCGGGTGAGGATTAAAAAAATAAAATAAAAGGTTCTGACAAAGAGGAAGAACGCAGAGGGTGGAGCTGCCGCTGGTCCCCCAGGACGCTCCCTCGAGCCCCGCCGCCTGCGGAGCCCAGTGCGGGGCAGACGAGTGTGACCCAGAGCACAGGGCCGCCTCTGGCAGGCAGAACCAGAACCGCTCCGTGCCCGCAGAGCCGGGAAGGGAGGCCTCTGCCAGCACCGGTGAGAGGTCCTCTGTGGGGCCATCCGGCCCTGGGGCGTATGGCCAGCAGGACAGGGCAGGGTGTGGGCGCCCGTTTCCGCCAGGGTGGGCAAGCGAGGCTTCAGAAGGAGGGCATCGGAGCTGAGCCCCGGCGGACACCCTTGGGCACAGTGGGAGGCAAAGGGCACCAGGCAGCAGGACCAGCAGGTGCAAAGGACCTGGGCAGGGCCAGCAGGAGGGGACGAGGACCTGCAGGAGGCCACCGCTCCAAGGGAATGAGCAGGGGCCAGAGGGTGACAGCCCGGCTGCAGGGCTGACCCGACGGGCTCTACAAAGGGTTGGCTGGTCGAAAGCAGGAGAGACGGGAGGAGCAGAGGCCAGGGCGCGGGAGAGGACAGGGGACAGGGGGTGGTTCCGAGGGCAGAGTGGACGGGGTGGTTCCGAGGGCAGCGTGGACGGGGGAGGTTCTGAGGGCAGCGTGGACGGGGGTGGTTCTGAGGGCAGCGTGGACGGGGGAGGTTCTGAGGGCAGAGTGGACGGGGTGGTTCTGAGGGCAGCGTGGACGGGGTGGTTCTGAGGGCAGAGTGGACGGGGGAGGTTCTGAGGGCAGAGTGGACGGGGTGGTTCCGAGGGCAGAGTGGACGGGGGAGGTTCTGAGGGCAGAGTGGACGGGGTGGTTCCGAGGGCAGAGTGGACGGGGGAGGTTCTGAGGGCAGAGTGGACGGGGGTGGTTCCGAGGGCAGAGTGGACGGGGTGGTTCCGAGGGCAGAGTGGACGGGGGTGGTTCCGAGGGCAGCGTGGACGGGGGAGGTTCTGAGGGCAGAGTGGACGGGGGAGGTTCTGAGGGCAGAGTGGACGGGGTGGTTCCGAGGGCAGCGTGGACGGGGAGGTTCCGAGGGCAGCGTGGACGGGGGAGGTTCCGAGGGCAGAGTGGACGGGGGAGGTTCCGAGGGCAGAGTGGACGGGGGTGGTTCCGAGGGCAAGCGTGGACGGGGAGGTTCGAGGGCAGAGTGGACGGGGGAGGTTCTGAGGGCAGAGTGGACGGGGTGGTTCCGAGGGCAGAGTGGACGGGGTGGTTCCGAGGGCAGAGTGGACGGGGTGGTTCCGAGGGCAGAGTGGAGGGGTGGTTCCTAGGCAGATGGACGGGGGTGGTTCCGAAGGGCAGGTGGACGGGGTGGTTCGAGGGCAGAGTGGACGGGGGAGGTTCTGAGGGCAGAGTGGACGGGGGAGGTTCTGAGGGCAGAGTGGACGGGGTGGTTCCGAGGGCAGAGTGGACGGGGGTGGTTCCGAGGGCAGAGTGGACGGGGTGGTTCCGAGGGCAGAGTGGACGGGGGTGGTTCCGAGGGCAGAGTGGACGGGGGAGGTTCTGAGGGCAGAGTGGACAGGGTGGTTCCGAGGGCAGAGTGGACGGGGGTGGTTCCGAGGGCAGAGTGGACGGGGGTGGTTCCGAGGGCAGCGTGGACGGGGGGGAGGTTCTGAGGGCAGCGTGGACGGGGGTGGTTCTGAGGGCAGCGTGGACGGGGTGGTTCTGAGGGCAGAGTGGACGGGGTGGTTCTGAGGGCAGCGTGGACGGGGGAGGTTCTGAGGGCAGAGTGGACGGGGTGGTTCCGAGGGCAGGTGGACGGGGGGAGGTTCTGAGGGCAGAGTGACGGGGTGGTTCCGAGGGCAGAGTGGACGGTGTGGTTCTGAGGGCAGCGTGGACGGGGGAGGTTTCTGAGGGCAGAGTGGACGGGGTGGTTCCGAGGGCAGAGTGGACGGGGTGGTTCCGAGGGCAGAGTGGACGGGGGTGGTTCGAGGGCAGCGTGGACGGGGGAGGTTCTGAGGGCAGAGTGGACGGGTGGTTCCGAGGGCAGAGTGGACGGGGTGTTCCGAGGGCAGAGTGGACGGGGGAGGTTCTGAGGGCAGAGTGGACGGGTGGTTCCGAGGGCAGAGTGGACGGGGTGGTTCCACAGAGTGGCGGGGTGTTCGAGGGCAGAGTGGACGGGGAGGGTTCCGAGGGCAGAGTGGACGGGGTGGTCCGAGGCAAGAGTGACGGGGTGGTTCGAGGGCAGAGTGGACGGGGTAGGTTCTGAGGGCAGGATGGACGGGGGGTGGTTCGAGGGCAGAGTGGACGGGGTGGTTCCGAGGCAGATGGATGGGGGAGGTTAGGAGGGCAGAGTGGACGGGGGAGGTTCTGAGGGCAGAGTGGACGGGGTAGGTTCTGAGGGCAGAGTGGACGGGGTGGTTCTGAGGGCAGAGTGGACGGGGTGGTTCTGAGGGCAGAGTGGACGGGGGTGGTTCCGAGGGCAGAGTGGACGGGGTGGTTCCGAGGGCAGAGTGGACGGGGGTGGTTCCGAGGGCAGAGTGGACGGGGAGGTTCCGAGGGCAGAGTGGACGGGGTGGTTCCGAGGGCAGCGTGGACGGGGGTGGTTCCGAGGGCAGAGTGGACGGGGTGGTTCCGAGGGCAGCGTGGACGGGGGTGGTTCCGAGGGCAGCGTGGACGGGGGTGGTTCCGAGGGCAGAGTGGACGGGGGTGGTTCCGAGGGCAGAGTGGACGGGGGTGGTTCTGAGGGACAATGGACAGACCCTGCTGTTAGGCCGTGTGGGTGACAGAAGGGGCCCAGGTCTGGGCGGTGTCGGCCCCTGTCCCAGGCAGGAAGACTGGACGGAGGCCGTGGACCCACAGGGAGACCTGCAGCCCGCGCGTGGGCCGTGCTGAGTTGGCGAAGCCCGAGATCTCCCACATGAAGACGCAATCATGCTGCCAGGGCGGGGAGCCCCTGTGCCCCTACAGGTGCACACACGTCCCCCGAGCTGAGCAGCCCCTTCAGAAGGATGGAGGGCTCCAAGTCTGATCAGGAGTCAGCCACAGGACGAGCCAGGGCCTGCGCCCCCAGCAACCAAGTCAACTCCTCTCCACGGAGACGGAGTGGGGGGCAGGGCCCCGAGTCAGCGCAACAGTGCCCTTGGAGAAGAGACCTCTGCAGACCGAGACCTAAATCCAGCGGTTTGTAACCTTCCTGATGCCGCGACCCTTTGACACAGCTCCTCGTGCTGTGGGGACCCCCAACCATAAAATTACTTTCGTTGCTACTTCATCACTGTCATTTTGCTACTGTTGTGTCTTAGGCGACCCCTGTGAAAGGGTCGCGACCCCCAGGTTGAGAACCGCTGCCTAGAGCCTCCGCCCACCCTCCACCTGCCTTCCCGTCCATCACACCTCACGTGAACACATCCTGAGAAAGAAATACTCCACCGGAGGTGGGCAGGCCGCTCCCAGAGGACCTTGTTGCCAGCCTGCCCGCTGCACCCCCCCCCAACCGTGCACTGTCCTGCAGGTCAGTCCCCTACATTTGCTCTGCACCTGTGTGCAGGGAAGAGGCTCCGCCTCCCCTTCCGCCCCGGCCAGGGTTCCACGCCCGATCTGGCCCACAACTGCATCTGTGTATCCACAGGCGGGTGTCAGTTCTAAAGGTGTTGCCAGCATGTG